GTAGATTGGCCCATCAGCTTCATATCCAGCACTCTGCTTAGCTGCATCTCGCTCCAGCGTCATCCACTTGGAAACTAACAAATGAAGATGTGAAATGCATTTTTAATTGTTATGCGTCCTAGTTTGGAACAACTTTTTCTCGCGGTGTCTGGTGACCTAGAACTGGAGACACACACCATGCAAAAGTGAACTCCCAAATAAAAGTAATCTACTTTTTTGTTAAATATCAAAAACCAATTACCATATATCACTCTTTGACATTTTCCTCCTGATCAGAGGAAAGAAGTCCCTGTAATTTAATTTCAGTCTTAATTTATAGAGTCAGCCTTTCCTGAGTGCAGCACTGCTGGTCTAGTGTATTTGATATTAAAGCCCCAGTGTCTAGCGATGCCCAGCTGCTCCAACACCGAGGTTATTTGCTCCGCTAATAGAAGCTGACACATTTCTTCTGCATAAAATCCCTTACTCACAGCATCTGTCTTCTTTCCTAATCCCACTCCTCACTCCATCCCTGCCACCTTCCAACAAGTCTCTCTCTTGTCCTTTGCCATTTTTCCAGGCCTTAAACGTCTGTGTTCTGTCGCCTCAGTTTACATCTCCATATCTGCCTCTCTTCTCAGTGTTTCTGGCTGTTAATCAGAGTTGCCTGGGACATCAGGCGACTGCTGTCATGATGCCCAGCCTCGGGCTCCAGGCATCAACATTTATCATTTGGAACAACGGCGTGATCCACTCCACCACACTTCTCCAATCCTCCAGCCACCCACATCCTCAAAGCCAGTAAAAACTGTGAGAGCTGCAAATCAAGGCCACATTTTGGAGATCATGCACGCAATCAGCTCATGGTGTGAAGGGGCTGCTATTGGCCTGGAGGAGGCACAAACCACAGACCAGCTGTTTGGTAGACCTTGATTTCATATCTCTGATGTAGAAACCACTAACTATCAGACACTCTGTAGAAGTGATATTTGGATATTTGAACAGCAAGTCTCTGCAGGGAAATTTATGAAAAGAGAAGCTTCGAGGTGCTGGAAAATTTGTATCATCCAGACTGCAGGGACTCCAAGGTTGAAGTTGGACTTGTGGGACACTCAGAGTATCAGATTGTGTACTAAGGGGAGCTCTGCTCAGCCTAAATTTTCTCACTTGGATATCAGTTCTTGGGTAAAACTTGTGACTTTTACTCCACTTCATTTTAAAGGCTAATTTTGCACATTTGTCTCAACTAGATTTCTTTGAATGATTTTGTTTCTCTTTCCGAGACTGGTGAATCTAAAACCAGAGATTTCTGATATTTTTGCATTTGTCAAAGCAAGTGAATTTAAACTGAACAAAAATATAAGTGCAACACTTTTGGTTTTGTTCCTATTTTTTATGAGCTGACCTCAAAGATCTAAGACTTTTTCTATGTCCACAAAAGACCTATTTCTCTCAAATGTTGTTGACAAATTTGTCTAAATCTTTGTTAGTGAACTCTTCTCCTCTGCTAAGATAATCCATCCACTTCACAGGTGAGACATATCAAGATGCTGATTAGACAGCATGATTGTTGCACAGGTGAGACATATCAAGATGCTGATTAGACAGCATGATTGTTGCACATGTTTACCTTTTTTTTTGAGTCCAGTTGATTGTCCCCTTAGTGATCCTCAACTGCACGTCTTAAAATCTGCACTCATGCATTGTGAAAAAACAGAAATGAAAAAAAAAGATAGATATTTCAGGTTTTGCAGACTAGTCAGGCTATTAAAAAGCATAATATTATCTAAAGCAGTGTTTTGATTTCTATTGCTGCCTCATGAAAAGGCACATTTTACATTGGCGATTGCTGGAGTACCTCTTGAATTAATACACCCCTGAAATCTGAGTCTATTCACCACCTACATGTTTGAAGTAAAGTGGTCCTTCAGAGGAGGGAGTTCTCATTTGAACAGCTTGAATTAAAATCAGTGATAATGAAATTTAACAGCCTTGCCAAGTTGCAGCTCAAGAGGTCAGAAAAATCTTTTCAGGTATGATACCAGCATACTTTACTCTTTTTATTCAAATCGCTGTGAACCTCTGGCAGACCCAAACATCAGGCTCAGACACAGTGAGATGTCCTACGTCACAAATCCAAACTCCGCCCCCGGAGCCCCTATATGCAGGCTAGATTAGGAAAAATAGAGAGGATAATCGCTGAACAAGCCTGTGCGTTAGCTGATTGCAATGCTTGCAAGAAAGCTAATTATGATATTAATTTTCATCATGCCCCTAAAGGCATTAGAGTCTGAGAGCTGAATAAAGTTGCCACTTCTACTACACAGGCAATGTTAGGCTGCAAGCTAACGTGAAGAGAAGTGTGCAGAGCAGCGCTGTCTCCGCCTACAACTTAGAGGTGCATTGCTAATAAACTACTGGAGCTCTGCAGAAAAAAAGCCCTTGAAAATGACACAGGTAACGTGATTTTGGCTAACTTCATAATCACAATTTAAAGACCACTGAGAACACCTCAAGTAAGAAAAAAAACTATAGATGTTGGACTTTAAGGAAAGTTTCTGGAGGCTCAGCAGGTAAACCCAACAAAGATTTTTGTATGTGGCCCAGCTGCATATATTTTTTTTTAAGGTTTCACCTTGTATAATGGCAGCATGAAGAGGGAGAGAGGTGCACCAATGTTACCGAGCAGCAGAGAGGACTGTCATTTTGGACAGAATTATAATGTTACATAAATCTATGTTTGTTTATCAAGCCTGAAATTCAGCTTTGTGACTCATCAGTCAAATACAAGAGCTGTGCTGCAGATTTAAGTCTGTTTTACAGGGGGAAAAAAAGACATACAGAAAAGATCAGCATCATTAACACAGACAGATCCTGGAATGAAACATCTGTCTCCTGGCTGTGCTCATAAACCCTGATGAACTACCCGTGGGGCAGTTTTCTGATGGAGTCATTCACAGCATGTGCCATCTTAGTTTATGCATAAGCTGAGGTGATCTGACTTTTAAAATGTCACTTTGAAAGACAGAGAACATCCACGCCTGCAAGAAAAAGAAAAGCCTCCTGTTGCACCAAGAAAGTCCTCTGTTGTCTTTAATTCATTTGCAGTAATGAGGGGTTAAACAGGGTTATGTGCGCATGTTCAGGCTGATTAAAATGGTGTAAAGTGTAAACACCGTTTTTGGTATAGTCCTGGGTTTTGCTAGGCATCCTAATAGATGAAATGATGTGCTCAATAAACTGAACTGACATTTTTGGCTGGACAGACAAATTTATTGTTAACCCCCAATTTTAAAGTTCAAACTATGCCTATGTTCATTTTATATTCTTATCTTCTTAATGTGTGCTAAGACGGATTCCAGTGTTTTATCCATGTCCCCATTCTCCGTATTTTGGGGGGCTTAATGATTAATGGGTTCAAATCTTTTGGTATCATCCAGTAGATCACTTCAGCCTGCAGCTGAGAGATGGGCTTCACTGTGATCTTATAGGGCAAATACTTCTCAGCACTAAGAGTGTTTTTTCCACTGAAGGTCAAAGATCAGTGCTTTGTGTGTCTACGAACTTCATTAAATGTTCATCTTTTGTTCACAAGAACTGATTATTAAACTTCATGTCTTTGTTAAGTACTTGCTTTAGACTGGTTACATATCAACAGTCCATAATAATCTAATATTCCTCATTAGACCATGGCTGCTTTTGTTACAGGAGGACAAACTATAAACACAGCAATGTGCAGAAGTCTGGTGAATTTGATGTTAATTAAAAAAAAAAGAAAGAAGAAAATAATTGGAGAAAGGTCTGGAAAGGTCAAAGGCACAAAAACCGGAGGCTATGACAAGAAATTGAAGATAACACAAGATGGCTCATGGTTTGAGATATGGCTGTGTTAAAGGACTTGTTTATGGAAACAAGAATAACAGGCTTTGACAATGATGAGGCAGAAAAACCACAGTGATCGTGTGTCCTGGTTTGACCAGGATAATCCCGATTTCTGGTTTTGTGTCCTAACGGAACACTCATATGTCCGCCTGCAACACCAATTTATCTGCATACATGTCAATGAATGTGGTTGCCAAAGCTGTTGATGTTTGATCTCATGGAAAAACATCTCTAGTCCACAAAATGTCCAAGTTTAATTCAAAATTTTCCCTACATATGTCAATCTCACCCTGTTGCTTGGCTCGCCCATTTTATCACACTGACAGCATGCATCATGAATGGTAGACCAAGGCCCTCTGTCGTGGTAAAAAAGGACATCTAGAGTTTTCGCAAAAGTTCCAGGAGGATGACAGCTCCCCTTGAAAAGTACCTGTAAACAAATATGCCACGTGTTGCCCACATTGCACTTGTCCCAAGCCAAATTAAAATGAGGAAACATAATAATACTATTTCTACTATACTGCTTGTCACAGATATGACAAGATATTACAGCTTATACTTAAAAATTTCAGACCAGCACACAAGTTTTCATTATGATCTTTTTTTTTTTCTAACTGTCCACTCAGGAGAAGTTTTAGTTTTCATGCAAAGTCTGAGCCTCTGTTTTCCATCAGTTCACCAATACTTCCATCCAATACACATCATTTAAGATGCATTTGCAGGGAAAGAGCATGTTTAAGTTACTGCAGCCCAACAGGACATGTTTACATTCTGGCATGATTTTTTTAGGAGAAAGTGCCAGAGACTTCTAGTCCAAAGTCATGCTGTGGCCTCCTTTTATATTACAGCTTATGCAACAGGATCAAAGCAAAGAAAAACAATCCTGGGTTGTTGTGCATCAATTGCTCGTGCTGAAATCTGATTTAACAGGCCCAACACCTGCCTCTGCAGAGCTGGACCCACACCAGTTTTCAGATAATGAACCAAGGTCTTGGCAGCAGCACTTCATAAAATCCCAAAACACTAAAGAAATGAAAGGAGTGTCTGTCTGCAACCAAACGCTGGAACCAGGTGGAGCCTACACTGTATTTACAGTCAACTTTAAAAAACAGAAAGAAAGAAAACCAGCAAACAAGAAAGTAGTCTAAGATTTTTTTTATTAACTGTTAAGAATTCACCATAGTAAAGCATTTTGGATCTCTCACTCAAAGACTCTTTGGGCAACCAGTGCCGGGTTTAACTGCACATACTATCTGACATCACTTTTGACGTGTTGATCTGACTGATACTGATACTGATACTAAATATAAATATATATAAATACATATATATATATATATATATATTTATATGCACAGTTCTATCTGTGGTTATCAGAGGAAAGACTCGCTGGTGCTCATACTGAATACCCTGAAGTTAAAGAGAGCAGATGCAGAGTAGAGAAAGAGTACAAAGGAAGCAGATCAACTCTCTTTCTCCTGCTGTTACAAACAAGAAGTTAAATAAATACACATTAATCCACATTTACTGTATTTGTAGTAGATATGATCAGATTGCACTTAAGAGCAAAGATTGAATTCTGTACACAGAGTCATTTAAAATGAAAAAAAAATACATTTTCCAAATTGGTCCATTTTCATTGTACTGAGTACATCTTCCTGAGACACGTTCAGAATCGCAGACAAACAGTACTCACACAGCGTGGACATCATTTTTTGATTCATGAGTACTCGTTCTGTTTTTCTTTTATTTTGTTTCATCTTTGTGGAGGCTAATAACTTTTCACTTTGTTTCCACTTACAAATGTGACTGGGGTTTACCAAGACAGGTAAATAAACAAATTATACTTTTTGAGTACAACGCAAAAAGGTGCACCTGTTCATGGGTAAACTGATAAAAACTAACTGTGACCACTGGGAGAGGCAAATCTTGACCATATCTGATAAAACTTTCTGTATTTTGTACCAAACTGAAATGTGACTGTAAAATGTAACACCATATTTCAGACTGAACCACTTTCATTAAGGAGACCAAATTATTTTCATGCAACAGGTTATATTTGGTGGTATGGCTTGTCTCTAAGAGCTACATGCCCTTTCACATGTTTACATGAAATGCCAAAGCCTACGGCAGGCAGAATACACCCCTCCTTTGTTGTATGTGCTGAAAGCCAAGACAGGGAGAGCAGCAGCAAAGACCCATCTGACTTACAGAACAGCAGGCATCATCAGTGACAATTACATAAGACACAGAATAAAAAGAAGCAGCGAGAGTGGGCAGGCTAAAGAAGTGGAAATAGATAGCCCATTTTTGACGTTTTCCAACTGGATACGAAGAAAGCAATGAGCTGATAGCCGATATAGTCTGGCATTAGCATCAGCTGAAGGACTGTGGGCTGAGCTTGACTCTGTGACCTGCTTGAACTAGCACTGCTCAATTTTAGCAGATTAACATTACCTAGATTCACAATGTGCTGCAAGTCAGTTTACGAGTTTATTTTTTTAAATCATAAATAAAACACTCAACAATCAACATTGGCCACTGAACTGAAGCAAATTACTTGTTTAAGAATGGCAAACTGCAATATTGTTGTCGGTACCTGGTCCATCCTGGAGATTTGTACTGCGCATGTGCAAAACATACGTCACTTCCTCTACTAGCCATCTTTGTAACAGCTCAGCAATTTTTTGCCCCTACCGGTTTGCGACAGCTTCGACACTTGTTCAACCGCTTCAGCATCAGAGAGCTCGCTTCAGTCAGAATGGATGCTTCAGTTTATCTCTGCTTTCCTCCTGAACAGAGTACTTCCCCTGACTGAAGCAGTGCGCTGGAAAGTCAAGAGAATGGTACCCAGTTCCACGATTAAAGCTTATTTGTAAAAGTGCAACGTAGTTATAAAAGGCTTGAATGAATGTGATTATTTCATTGTTGAAATTGAAACGCTGTATAAAAATGCTGAAATACATTGTCCATAATGTGTAGGCTTCTTGTTAACAAATTTAATTTATAGAATAAATTAAATAATATATTTTTTTGTTTTTGTTTAATAGGGGTCAAATAAAGATACTGGTCATGTGTGTCATACACAAGAAGTAACGTACGTTTTGCACATGTGCAGTACAAATTGACAGTTGTGTCTCAGAAAGTTTGATATTTTAGTGTATTTGAAGCCGATTAGAATTATTATTGTGGGGTGGAGTTTTGTGGGCACATCAGAGATCACAGAGATTCCCAGAGGACTGCATGGACCACGTCTATGCACATAAATAAGTGGAAACAAGGAGTTTCTCAAACTACACTTACTGCAACCATCCACATATCGGGCCTCCCTTATCATATATGGCTTACTCTCTTCTCTGTGCCAAGACATACATAGTAAACAGATTTCTGTTGCTGCGCTAGTGTAGCATAATCCAAGACGTGTTGTTTCGGGTGCAAACACAGAACTAGACATCGATATACAGACAGCACTAAGTGCAGCTGCTGCCATATTTACTGTACTCAACCTGAATGTGTTGTGACGTGATTATCTTTGTGAGAGTGATGTCTGTGCTTCTTTTGAGATGATAAACCCTAAAAAATTAGCATATAAAAATGGTTCACTTGCATGCTGACATAAATATGTATATGAACAGTCCTACAGCCAAAAGATTTCTTTAAAATACACTGTGTTTACGAAAGTTGAATGTGAAGTTTCACAGTATCAATGTGGTTCTCTTCGTAGCTTGTTCAGACCGTGCAGCATCAGAGTCTCAGTTTGCAGCCAGTCAGGCTTTTGCTCTGCTGAGATCTCTAGTCCACACACACAACCATACAGACACAACCACACACACACAAATTAAGTACCTTAACATGAGGACGAAAATCACAAGCATCCTTTGCCTTCATTCTCACCTTCAACATTTATACCAGTCTGTTATTGCTTTCGTATACCATTATTGTTATGAAGATTAAGTGAAGGGGAAGGGAAATGTGTTGTCCATCCAGTTCAGCAGGGAAGCAGTCCTGACCTGCAGCCCGGATTAAAACCACTGGTGTGTCATTTCCATAACAATGTGATGTAAGGCAGCAGAACATGGACAGATGGGCTCCCCTTCTTCAGACTTACAAAAAGCAGTGCTTCCCTGGTTTTGTCTTTTCAAGTCTTTGTCAGTCTATACATTAGAGACAGCATTATTCGTATTATCCCTCGCCTGACGAATGCCATACAGCCACTTGATGACTCGGGCATTCCTCTCGATGACTGAGATACCATAAGGGACACGTTCGTTGGCTCTGGCTGGCGAATCCTCATCATCCTCATCTCCTCCGTCCTCCCTCATCCTATCAGCCTCCGAGCTTGGCGTGCTGACACTGCGGAGCTTGGACACGGACACAATGTCTGAGTTGGCTCTTGTGAAAAGCTCCACTCCACCCATGCCCTCAACCTCCTCCGGGTCCAGCCCGCAGTAGTTGAAGAAACGTTCCAGGTCGGCTGTGGCGCGGGAGTAGCGGTCACTCAGGTCTGACTTGGAGCGGTGCAACGATGGGTGCTTCCGAGACGATCCCTTGGAGCTAGCGTTTGAGATACGAGTGAAAGCAGGGGAAGCTGGAGGGATCATACCTGCACGCACCAGCATGGGACTGGGTGGTGGATAGGCTGGAGGGGGAGGCAGGGTCTGTGACGCGGTATTGAGCTGAGTTTGGGGTTTGCTCGTAGGGGGTGGAGGAGGTGGTACATTAGGGTGAGGGACCTGGCCTTGGGCAGTCTGTCTGGGTCTGAGAGGGGGCTGCAGCTGTGCCCTCTGAGGCTTCCTGATCTCAGCTTGAGGCCGCACATCCACCCTGCGAACTGTCACCGAGTTGGGGCCGTTATAGAGAGCTTGCACTGCAATGCGAGGTGCTCGTGCTGGAACAGGGGGTGGACGACGAACTGGCTCTGCTGCCTGAACCTTGAGGTTGTTATTGAGCGGAGAGGAGGTGCTGGAGGAGGTGGATGAGGAGTTGATGGTGGAGTGATTGAGTGGTTTGAGGTGGTTGAGGAGTCGGTTACTTCTCTCCTGCTCTGCTGAGAGGCTGCTGCCTATGCTCTTAGCTCCCGATGAAGGGGATGATGAAGAGGGGGAGGTGGAGGAAGAGGACTGAGAGCATGGCACTGGTCCATCACATACATCATTGATAAGATTATTGAGAATATCCAGGTTAAGAGCAGGTCCTCTCCTTCCTCCAGGCCCCTCTCTGCCTCCTCCGTTCTCCACATCAGCTGGACATCGGGGAACTTTGCGGGCTGGAGGAGTGCTGATCTGGCACTGGAGCATCATCCCTGGAGGGAGGAGGGGCTTTCGAATGATTGGTGGTTTGATAGGGGCCTGGCGGGTGAGGGCTACCTGCTGGCTTTTTACGTATTTGGCCTTGTCTGCCTCCAAACGCTCCACAGCGCTCAATTTACGAGCCCCAGGATCCGCCTGACGACGGAAGTAGTCCGGACCCTTGTTAAGTATCCTGAAGGGCATGGCGGAGGTGAAGGGAACCCCGGCCAGATGGCCGTCTGATGGCCGCAGCGTCTCCACCGGCATGCTGGAACGACAGAGAGAGAGAAAGTGGGATTTTTCAGTCAGTTTAACAGTTTGAAGAACAAAATCGTGTTTAAAAGAAGTAAAGCCGAAATAAGAAAGACTACTTCACTTTCTTTTCTCGTGTTTAAAGTCAGAAAAGTTATTTTTAGTCATTACAATGTTGTAGACAAGAGTTAGGTAAGACTAGAGACAAAAACATTAGACCTGACAGAAGGAGAAGTGGGTGAGAGTGGAGCTCCCACATGTCCCCTTTAAGCTTAAGAAAAAAAGCTCTTTTGTACTCTCTCTTTTCTCTCCTCTCTCCCCCCTTCTCCCCCCCTCCCTCGCACCCAGAACCCCCTTTAACTTCCTTACCGGTCGCTGTGCTGCTTCTCTCACTTCTGTCTTTTTCTTCTCTTTCTCCTCTGTCGCCCCTCTTGCTCCTTTATCCCTCGATTTTCCCAGTTCAGGCTTGGTTAAAGGCTACTCGTTGGCAAGGGTCAGTCGGGGTCAAATTCCTCATCAGGCCCAGATCTATTAGCTCAGTGGTGACCCCAAAGAAGGTTAGGCTGCAGATCGGGGTCAGCGGTCAGCCACAGTGCAGCCGAGGGCGACTCTTTATCCAAAATGCAAGTCTGGTGTATCAGCTGGCAATGATCCCCTGAAACACGACAGCCTCTATGATCCTGTTTGCAATCTCTGTCCAACTCGTCTGTCAAGCTGGTCCTCCTCTCCAGCTGTCATCTGACACAAAAAGCCGGCCAGCTCAGAGCCCCACAGTCCTGGAGAGGGTAAAAAAGAGATGCAAGTCCAAGTGAGATAAAGGTAGACCTCTCAGTTTTCGCTCTGCCTCTCATTAACAAAAGCATCCACACACTGATACACACACACACCCACGCACACACACACACTTCTCTTTCTGACAGACAGGGACTCTTTTGAACACTGAAGTGGAGCAGACGGGACAGGCTTTAATACTGGGTCTGGCTCCTCCCAGCCGGCCAATCACACGTCAGACCGGGAGCCTCAGCGGGGCACGAGGGGGCGGGGTCGGGAGGCAGAAGGAGCGTTCACATTGGTCGACAGGGGAAGGGATTCTGACCAATTGGACCCCTCCCCCCTCTGAGTACAACAAAACACTGAGCAGGGCTGTAATTCAAATGAAAATTCTTTGAAAGGGAGAGCGGTGGGGGAGTGGGGGGGCGGACAACGGTCAAAACAGCTGCAATTTTTTTCATTGACTTGCATCAGGCTCAGTGGGGCTCTGTGGAAACATTGTGTGCAACACCGATCGACTACACACACACACACACTCACAACTGTTCTTATTTAGCTCTTTGTTTTCTTCACACAAAGTCTGGCACCAATAGAGCAAACAATAAAGGATGTATCTTATTTGAATGATCTATTTTGACTGTGTTTTGATTTACATTTTAACAATAAAGCGTCTGTCTTGAGGGTAGGGGCATAAAGTATCCAAAAACCTGGCCTAAGTGACAGTTTGAAGACAAAACAAAGACAAGACGGTGAAAGTTTGAACTCATTTCTGCACTTTGGCACTGATTAATTCTGTATCATGTATGTCAGTATTCAGAGTTTAAAGCTCCACTGACACACACTGGTGATTTATTTTCTCCAAAATCTAATTTCCCAGAAAAACACATCCCTCCCTGCACCCCTTTATCCCTTAGCCCGCCTCATCCCTGCCCCCTCTTTTAAACCGTTTACAACATTACACTCCAGGGTTACATCACACCCAGTCGGCTCGCCTGAATCTTTCACTGCTCATCCTTACCTCCACCTCCGACATATCTATCCGCACATTTTTAATGACTCTTTTTATAGCCCTCTTCCTCAACATGTGACCCTGTTTTCCCCATGTCTGCCCCCTCTCTCTCTCTCTTTCTCCCCTCTCATCCCTGAGCAGCAGACCAGCAGCAAGGAGAAAGAGCTAAAGCGACCATGACAGCTCAGACTTGGACACACACATACATTCGCTTTTAGGAACTGCACACACAGTCCCAGAGAGTGCTTTCATCTCAGCCATGTGACACACCAAAGAAGAGTTTAAAATAGCTTAAATTACAAACACATTTGCATCACCGAAAAACAACATAAAGCGATCAAAAGCCTTTAAGAAGGTCTCTGGAGAGTTTATTTAAGGGAGAGAGGGAAAGCATTGTCTTATAGAAGCACCGAAGGCAATATAGAAAGAGTGATTTAAGGGAGAAAAGTGAACAAAGGAGAGACTGTTCAGTCAGTTTCAGGTGTAGGAAGACAGAAACCCAGTGGAGGAGATCTACCTGTGATGATGAGATCACCACAACTGGGACTTTTGGCCTATCAGGGGCTCAAAGATCTTTAGAGGGTGACACACTTTTTCTCATTCACCATGCGTCAGTTAAGAGACTCATAGTGATTTTCTGTTTCTTTATACTGTGGCACCTTTTGCAAAGAGAAAGGGTAAATAAACCCAGTGTTGACTTTACCCACAATGCCATCGGATTTCAAAAAGGTCACTCAGACCATTTGTTGAAGCGAGAGTGAAAATACCCCGACCTTCCTGTGAATGTTTCATTAAGTCAGAACAATGACTTGGTAAATTCCAGCTATTCTCACAAACTTAAAGTTCCTGTGAGGAGTTATTGACATTTATTACACAGACTGGAATTCATGTTGATGCCTTTTTATGACATACAAAAGCAAACAAGACCATCAGCAACAAGACTGCTGATTTTCAGATTGTAATTTTTTTTAGTGTCAGGTGTTTAACGTCAATAAAGCCACTGAGGGAAAAGATACTTTTCTATATTTTTCATTTCAAATATGAACAAAAAAGTGTTAAACTTGACTGTCAAAAGTCAGTAGGGTGAGATTGTTTCAAAAGACATGACTTCAGTATGTGGAGATCAAGAAAAGCAAAGACTGCTTTATCTACAGGGGCGCAAAAGCTGACACAAAGAGTTCCTTACTGGAGTTTTAATTTGCAGGGTTCAGGATGTCAGATTTGCTTTAGAAAGTCTGGAAAAAATGACAGCATAAAAGTCCTCAATCTTGTTAGTTATAGTCCTCTGTGCCTTTGTAAGTTGGGAAAAGACTCCAAGATGAATTTCATTCTGTTTCACAGATATACAATAACTCCTCATGGGAGCTTTGGTCACATTACAAAAAGAAATAATAATAATGATTGAAGGGACAAAGGTAAATGTTAGATGATTCTGGACTCTGAGCTGCTTTCAGAAGATCAAAATCAGTGCTGAGCTGGGAAACAGCATATTTTGTTTGTCTCCATTTGATGACTTATAAAGCTTACAAATGCAACAGAATTGGAAAAACTTCCTATGAACTCTGTGGGTAAATACTGTGTTTTATAAATTACACAGTTCTGACAGTTTGAGTTTTTTCTTAATGCTTAACTTGTCAGTTCATTGCCATGTAACTTTCTGTTTAAACAGCGAGGACATTTAGCGCTACAGATTTTCCCTTTGAAAAACTATATTTCTCGTTAACACTTAATTTAGTGTTTGTTTCTTTTTCAGCAACTGTGACATATGGTATAACACCAATGTGATACCTGTTGGAGCAATAATCGGCACAAAGGTGCAGTTTACAGGAAGAACTGCAGTTATTTGACAGATACAACAAAGTAAGGCTGTTGTTCTTTACATGCTCATATGGCATTTTTCTGATGCTATAGGACATATCATGAGAAAAGTAAGTGTGACTTTACATTTCTGAGTATTTCTGCATTCAAATCTCTGTGAATCTCTGACAGACCCAAACGTCAGGTTCAGACACAGTGAGATTTCCTACGTCACAATTCCAAGCTCCGCCCCCAGAGCCCAGCTATGCAGGCCAGGCTCATGGGAAGTAGAGAGGACAGACGCGGATTAAGCATGTGCAGCTTTGTAAGAGCTAATTATGATATTAACTTTCATCTTGCCCCTAAAGACATAAATGTCACTTGTACTATACCGGCAATATTGGGCTACAAGCTAATGCGAAGACGAGTGTGCAGAGCAGCACTGTCTCTGCTAATGTGCTACTGGTGCTCTGCAGAAGAAAAGCCCTTGAAAATGACACAGGTAACGTGATTTTTGTTAAAAACTTCAAAATCGCAATTTAAAGATCGCTGATAACACTTTTAGTACAAAAAAAACAACAACAATCGGAGTGGGACCAAAATCAACGGCTGTAATGCCCATGTATTGCTCAAAATCGACCAATTTCTTTGCATTTTCAATTAGGGCACATCATTCCAACACTGAGCATCCTGGGGGATCCTTGCTTGACATCGTCACCAGCAGTGATGTGAACTGCATGCAAAGGAAGAATATGAAACAGCTTTATACTCTTAATCTGATAAGTGTAAGTTGAGTTCATGTGGCCTGATTATTTTCTCTATGTCCTTGATTTGTTTTAGATATTTGGAGCCTGGCATTGACAATGAACACGTGTGTATTTCAAACTCTTTCAACCTTCATTTGCTTAGGCAAAACCATCAGGTAGTACAGAGAGAGTCACAGGATTATTGTTATCAGCTGAAATGGGTTTGTGTGGGTGGGACTTTGAGTTTGTGTTCTCATGCACACATCTCTATGATTGTTACAGCCCTCAAACGGGAGATGTCCTTTTTTTTCACTGGACAATCACTTTTACTTGGTTTTTACATGATTGTCCAGAACACTAATCGTGTTTAAAGCATGTAGCAGAGGCAGGAATGGAGACTTTGAAATAATGTGATAAAGGCAAAGAGAGGAGGCCTAGTCAGTGTGTGCGGCTACACTTCAGAGACCATTACACATTGAACTGGGACCTCTTTCAAAATATTTGTGTTATGCCCTTGCACCATAATGATTATCCAGCCAAAGGTGGGCCATACTTACAAAAATTGGTGTTTTTGAGGACACGAAGAGGCACTAAATTAGGACTAAAAGGATGTTTCTCTTCAGTGGAAGCCTGTGAAAGGGTAGTGAAGAGGCCACAGAGGCCACTGAGCTGGTTGTGGTTTCTGTGACCACAAGTTTGTCTTTGCTGTTCCTGGTTAAGTCTCTTCCAAAACATATGTTTCTATGTATAGACACATGCACTACCATTTCTATAATAACCTAAACCTGTTGCACTAAGGCTTGTTTTTCAATGTATAGTAAGTATAAAAGCTTTTATTTTCTTTTAATTAAAGGTAGCTGTTTTTTCTGTTTTCCTCAGTAGTTAGAGTTTTATAGGAATTCTTAAGGGAAGCAATCGAGCACTTCATGAGCTTCTGTGCGACCCTAGCTCCAAAAGCACTGGGATGATGTGTAAAATTTAGCTGCATAGATTTCATGGTTCGCGAGTCTTTCAAATCCAAATGTTTTTTTTAAGTGCAAAAACAAAAGAATCAAAAAGCTGACGGTGAAAAGCTTTTCACACAAGGACTAAAAAACACAGAGAAAGTTGTATAATGCTGTAATGCTGAATAAAAACAAAAATCTGGAGTAACATCTCAAAACTGATATGATTAATTTCAGGTAAAGATGACTGGATAGAACAAGTATCTTAGAGGTAAAGTTGGTAAGAGGTTCATCACTGTAAGAGACTGAGCAAATAGTTCAAGAGTTTTAGAAGAATGTTCCTCAGAGTAAAATTGCAAAGAATTGTGGACTTCCTCATCTAAAGTACATGTTATACATAAAGTATTCAGAGGACTTGGAAAGATCCCCATGCAAAAGACAAGCACCACTGTGTTTCACTGAAATGACTCTGTTGTAGGAATCACTGCATGGGAAATCATCTAAAAAAAATCACGGTCCGCGCGTGCATGTCACAGTGTTATCTTATCATTTCTTTTTTGGTCTTGTTTGCCTTTTCTCACCTTGCTGTGTCTTGTTCTTTGTCATTTATTGTCGGTGTGTTTCTTTTGACCATTTCTGTGGGATTCTTGTGCAATGTGTGTATGTGCAATGTGCGTGGGTTGTGTGTCTTTGTTAGTCACTTTGTGTCATCACTTGGCGGCCTAAGGGTACAATATAGTGTATTGTATCGTGAACATAGCTCATTGCTGCATCCATAAATGCAGGTTACAACTGTTTGCAAAAAAGAAACCAAGTATGAAACATGATCCAGAAACGCCAGCAACTTCTCCGGTCCTGAGCCCATTTCAGAATGACTGCAGCTAAGTGGAAAACTGTCCTGTGGTCTGATGAATGAAAATTTGGCTTTCATCGTGGAAATCATGGATGCCAAAGAAGAACGGGACCACCCAGCTCGTTATCAGCAGACAGGTCAAAAGTCAGCATGCATGATGGTATGGATGCTGAGATCATGGCATGAGTGGATTACACATCCAGAAAGGCATCTTTAGTACTGATGGCACATACTTAGGTTTTGAATCAGCAGTGGTTTTTTCAGGGATGACATTGCATATTTTAGCCAGACCATGCCAAACCACATTCTACAGGAATTCCAACACGAATATGTAATAAAAGATCAAGGGTACTAAACTGGAGAGTCTGCTGTCCTGAAATTTGAACGGGACAGCATATCACCTTTAAACTCCAGAAACTGCCTTTACAGACATCCAGTGTTGTGAAAAGGTAGATGATACAGATCCGTGATAAATATCTGTTTGTCTTAACAGTTTACACAGAATATATTTGGATTCTGTGTTTATGAAAAAGAAATTAAGAAATAGCACAAATGCTTCAAAACAAGAAGAAAAAGTGTGAGAATAGAAAGTAGGAACTGTCCTTTGTGGAATCAGTTGGCCATGAATAAATAAATGCGTACCCTGTTACCTTCCTTCTTTAAGGCTTGGCATTGAGAGGAGGCATCGGTGTGTATCATTGTTTGTCTGGATCGTTCCCTTTTTAAAAAGCTGCTATTGTCTTTCATTTCACTGTATTCATTTCCTCCCTCCTCAGGGTCAGACAGCTAAAAGGCATAAATGTGTGTGCAAACAAGCAGTGCTGTACCTCCGTCTGCCATCAAACTATGAAAATTGATCAAGCTGCGTCTCAGTGTGTGTGCGCATCTCCTTGTGTGAGTCTGTGTGTGAAATGATCATCTAAGGAAACAAAAACATCTCCACTTCATCTTGTTTTTCCAACTTTCAATCTCTGGCTTTCCATTCATGCTCTATTCAGCTGATTTCTCCAGAAGAGACGTGCACACCACAGGCCCCGACCACATTGACAGACCCAGGAATGATATTTTTATCCCGCAATGGAAACTTGCTCAGTTCAATTATCATAAAAATATGCTAACCGCTGTGTTAGCATGACTGTTTTTACATTCAAGCTTTCCAACCGCCATATTAGTGGGTAATGATGTTTCAGGATGTCTGCTATGTGTGTGAGAAGGAGATTGTGTTTCATGGTGCATGAGCCGTTGAGTAATATGAGACCTATGAGACTGAAAGAAGGGAAGATAAAAGTGTTAAGCTTCACTCTGACGAAATGTTGAAAGAGGATGCAGCTGAAGGAAGCCGTGACTAACTTTGACCACAGCTGACTTTGGTCACTTTTAACTGGCCTGCTTAAGTTGAATTAAAAGGAAAGTCAATGACTGGGAGCAATTTGCCTCTCTAATATACTTTCACTGAGTGACTGTGTGGCTAAAAACACAGCAAACATGAACAAATAAAGAAATTGGTTTGGACAGATGGCAAAAAAAACAAGATCATATCTGAGTGTTTTTCCTGGGAAGTGTCCTGCGTCATGTCAGAAACAGGAAGAAGTATCAGTCAGATTATCCAAATATTGAGAAACAGGAATAAGTTGGTTCATGTTTTGTGATGCTGGTGTGACACACTGACACTGACCTTCAAGAGCAAACCTAAACCTAATGTTTGTCTCTACTTTGGCAGTCTTTACTTATCTTGTCCTTTATTTACTTAAACGGTGTCTTTGAGAATAAATCTCATCCTGCTGACTTTTGATGGGCAAATCAATCATTTATCTTCAACATTTGATCTCAAATTTGTAAAAACAGGTTTGTGTCTTCAGCTTCTCAGACGACACTTTTACTCCTTGTACCCATTAAAGATGTCAATATACAAATTGCCAATTTCGTCCTTGTAGCTTTCTTTGCTTTTGTAACCATAAAAGGCACAAGTAGAAGTTTCAGTCTATTTCAAAATGCCAAAAACTTCCTTAACAGAGCTTCAAAGAAGTTATAAAAAACAATATGGGGGAATTTCAGTGAATTCAATCTGCAAGGTCTGATTGAATTGACAAAACAACTTTCCCCCTAAGCTGTGGAGGATTCAGTGTCCTTCTCAGGTGTGATTTTGTATCTTTATACCTCAAAACAAAAAAAAAACTCTGTTACCTGAGCAAAAAAAATCAAGGTATCATGGATTTTTCTTTGAAAGAGTCACCCTAACCCCAAACTGAGAGTGAGAGGGGATGTTAGAGGGCAGTTAGTCAGCAGTGACTTCTCTGGTTTGTTGCCCATTGGAGAGCCGAGCAGGAAGCAGTGACGCATTCCACAACAGGAAACGTGTGAGAAAAACAAACAAATGCACTCAGCCGGAGTGTCGGCCTCTGACTGAGTGTGAGTGTGACTGACCAGCAGGTTGTCCCTGTTGTACAGTGACCTCAGCCCATCTATTTCTGGGCACTCGGACTTGCAATTCGGCCTCTTTGTCATGCTGCCCTACACAATGCACTGGCTACTGTGACAGAGGGATCACACAATGAGTGAGCTCTGGTACTGACTGTAAATCTAACCACAGTCTTACAACAGCAAAGAGGCAAATAAAACAAACCAAAATAATAGACTGATGTGTGTTTCACTAATGCCATTGTTGTCTTAAGCTGCTCTTCTGACCTTCTTAACAAAGGTGGAGATTTGTACTCAACATTTTATCAGCCTTCATTAGAAAAGAATTGGAGTTTGCATAGTTTGACCAGATGATTTTAAGTTACAATCCCCTGATTCTCTCTTTTTCTGGGCTTTTAGGCTTAGCAAGACACGAAAGATTTATGTATATAAAAATAGAAGGTCAAAGGTCACCTCAAATACTGAAGCAAATCACATTCCAGGGATTCCTGTCCTGCTTGGACATTGAGTATATGTTACCATGAACAACGTGCCTCCGTTCTCCTAGTTCTGAGATGTGAGTCAAGCCAACTTATCTGCAGAGTCAGGGTGCTGTTGTCACACCCCTCATGCTAACCAAAACACGAACTTAGCTTACTGATAAAATGTCAAATATCCCTCAGTGGAACAGATTCTTGTTTTGATATGGAGCTGACACTCCAGGTTATGGAAAGATCAATGACTTGTGTCAGTGTTCAATATGTTTCTCTTGTCCCTCCTCTGCTCTGCTAATCAGCAAAGAGGCGCTGACACAGCTGTCAATCATGGTGTTACATGATGTGAGGTCACGCTGAAAGAGGAGCACATTCATAAAAAAAATAATCAGCATGATAAAATTGCACCATGAGAAAACTATGTTGGAGGAAAGTGTATTTTGGTGTTCTACTTTGGCCTATGTTCAATCCAAGCAGCCTCCTCCAGTATTGAGAAATGCCACTGGAACAGAAGTACTAAAAACTGCAGTACCTTGATTGACCACTTGAGGCTTTCTTGTGCTCTACACCAGACACATATACATCTGTACTCTGCATTCATTTTTTTTAATTATTTTGATTTTCGCAAGCTTTTTGATAAACACCAAACATTGCAGTGCCACCTAAAGGTGGGAGGTTAGTAAAGCCAATCGCTCTAACCTTAAACTATGCAAGAAATAAAACAAAACATAATAATTTAAAAAAACAAATTCTCCACCCATATACTGTGCTTTTAGCAACACTGCTCCAGATTTTGTCTTTCTTCATAGATACTCCATCAATACTCCCTTCATAATGACCATATTAGTCATTGTCATAAACTTTGATTCTTCTTCCTTTTTGGGATAACATTTGAGTCTGAATGGCACCATCTAGTTGAAGCACTGTCCATTAAATTCAAAGGGAGCATGAGGGTTGTGATAACAACGCCAATTTAAATCAGAGGGCTTTGTTTTTGTCTAGAGGAGCGTAAATTCACTCTCATAGGGGCTCTTGTGTAAGCTGTGGCTTCACTGAGGTAGCTCTGTATGTTATTTTATATAATCCATGGGTTCAAGTAACTTGACAAAACCAAGATCCCTGAACAATCTCAATTTATGAACCCCTGTTTGACGCCTTAATTATGGCACACTGGCAGTCATCACCTTGGTTTTTGTGGTAACCACCATGTGAAGGACCATTTGAAGAGTCTCCTCCTGCTGGCCATTGGAAACAATGTGGATACAAGTCAGTTTTTCCTCAAGGATGGATGCATAGTTCTGCTTTGAACCATGTGATAATCCTTGAATACTTACTTTCTTGAAGTCACTGGAATGAAAAGTAGCTCAGGTGTTAACCACATTTGCCATCTTAGCTTAGGGGATTGGAATTGCTAATTGGACATACTGTTAAAAAAAAAACAATGTGTTGCTGCAGACTTTAAGAGACAGGAGTAGAAACACAACAAGACATTTTGACTACATTTCCATTATATGAGTCTTATCATGCCTGCTGCATGCACACTCTAGGCTTGATGGACTCGGTCAAGCTTCTTCCTTGAATTAACTAGTCAAATCGTCATCTAATGTGATGAGAAAAAGGCCTCAATCCCCATAAAAGACAATCCTGTTATGAGCTACAACCCAAGCACCAGCCCATCACCCAAGCAGGACACCCTCGCGTCAGTTTTAGTCAATATAAAGCTTAAAAGAGGAGTTCAAAAGGTTATCAGCCACTCCCCTCCAGGGCTGATTTAAGAAGCTGCTAAGACAGTTAATGAAGACAGAGAGGAGAGCACCAGAGCTCACAAGATCCAACCTTTAATGCCCTGGGTTCACCACACAGATCTGGACAGCCATCAGACCTGGCCATGCTGCTTGTTTCATACTGAGACAGGAAGAGGAACAGCTTGCTCTCATGCGGACTGAACAACCTGGAGCTGAACAGGCTCATAACTACGGAGATGAGGCTGGACATGAACACAGCAACCCATGACTACACTCAACAGCTCTGAGTCTGCTGCTGTTGTAAACCTCTTAGTTGCTGGACCCACAATCTCTAAGGACCTGGAGGGAGCTCAATATGAACACAATCATCAAAAAAAAAAAAAAAAACAGGAGATGATCCTCTGGTGCTAGCTCAGGTTCAGCCTGCTTAGGCAGATGCATTGAGCCTGTTTTTGTGGACATTTTTTGGAAAGTATCAGATAATAAAAACAGACTGCTCCTAATTTACATTCAAGGCTACTGTGTCAAAAAAGAACATGCAGACACAACAATGATTTTTTTCTGCTACAGCCTATATGTACTGCCTCATTCACCCACTTTACTGTCCTTATGTAAGTGATGATGAAGACCGTAAGGAAGCAACAAGAGTATAACCGCCATTGGAGGTTGTAACCACAGATTTGTGCATTAGTAGACTGCGCTTGAGCTAGGCGGAAGATCAAATCTGTTCACTTTAAGTACTAGACAAATCAAAATACCTTCAACTTGACCATTTGCTGCCATAAAAATAAGTGCAAATTGGCAGATTTATAAATGAAAAGGCAAACTGTCCTGTCAAAATATAAAGTGCAAGAGGCAGCTGTCATTGTTGAAGAATAAAGCGATGCAGAAACAAAAAAAGAATGCAGTTCTGTGAGTGTCCACTGAAGGCTGGCTCCAAAACCAAAGCACAATACCATCGGGCCAATTATAAAATTGCCCGGTTTTACAGAAGGATTTGGCAAATGTACAGCCTGATGCAAACATCAGTTTTGGTCTGTATGTCCCACTTTTCGTCCCAATAACGACATTTAGTTGTTTAAGTCATAGAGTTATGCAGAATTAGGAGTTGTAAGGGGGTTTGGGCTGATTTGGGGCTGTTTGCTGGTGGCTAGGCTATGCCCTCAACTCCACCTCTTTGCAAGTCTCCAGATAAGCTAGAGGTTTATTTGCAGTCAATATTCCCATTATGGTGGCTGTTTTCCCTGAGCTTTATAATGCCCCTTTAGATGACATCACTTAGACTGGCTGAGAAGGCTCTTAGGGTGCTACTTTTTCTTTTATTGGATAATATGATTTCTTGATTGGTTTTCAGATGTAAGGGGAATCATACAAATCGAACAAAAACTGGCACAGAAAAAAAAAAAACTGCCTTTCCAATTTAAACCTGAGGCACTTATCTCATCAGCCTGTGCATTCATCAACACTGCACAATTGTCTTCTGTTTGTGTGTCTTAAAGAACAGTTTGACTATTATAGACAGTGTACATTGTTGTTCATTGATAGCATATGTCGGGCCACATAATGCACATTTTTATGTATATTGTATTGCATGTTTATATATTTGTATGCATCTACTTCTGCCCCCCCTTTGTTCAGCTTCTTTGTTTTTGTTCATTGCTGTATGTGTGTTTATGCATGAGTCCTTTCAGAGGAACTCCAAAGTCAAACTCTTACAATAAAAACAGACTGTTCTGAAACTGCTCTCTGCCTGATGGGGAACTTGACTGTCATGCATGACTGACGGGTTGGACTGCAGAGTTATGCAACTCTTATACCCACTGGAGTCTAGACAAGTGCACGAAAACATGCACCCAACCATAAGCAGTTATTATAACATCTAAAGCCCCATCTTTGTACGGCCCTCCCCCACCCACTTCATCTGCTGGTCACCCCTCAACCCCCATCCACATACACACCAACCCACTCAACCTCTGCCTGCCACTGTCTGAGTCTGTGGCCCCAGGAAACACACACTTCCATGCACAATTACTCCCAGGGGTGGGATGAGGAGGGGTACGGTGAAATCCTGTCACATGTGAATATGTAAAGCCGTACATCCATGAATGTAGACATCCTCATATCTCTGTGTGTATATGTGTGAGTATTTGTGTGTGCTTGGTTGCAAAGTCGTGTCATTTTTGCAAGGAAACCCTGCAGCAGACACAGAACATTAAAAAGATATCTGTAATACATCTGCATTCCCTATCTACAAAACAGACTCAATTTTAAAGCAGCAAACACTGTACAAACAGAATACACATACAGCTGTTTTTTTTTTTCTTGATTTGAGTTTGAGTTTTTGTCAGTGAGAGAGCACTGTAAGTTTACAAAACCAGTTTAAAATAGCACATCTGTCAGTAGGAGGACATAAACAGACTGCAAATAAACAAACTCAATACATTAAAAATACAAAAAACACTGACTGCACACCTTTAGCACAAATAGGGTTGAGCAGCACAGCCCATAACAAATACTGATTGATGATTTGATGGTTAAAACTTGATAAATGGAGCATCCTGCTTATTTAGCATAATCAGGGTTTCTTGTCCTCTATGGCCACTGTCATTTCACCAATGGGAGGGGTAAGCAAGGGAGGATTTCAGTCTTGAATGTGTGTACTAGATATTGCTGAATGTTTCAATCTCACTAGACTGAAGACTAATACCACCTTAGAAATGCAGAAATGCCTTATTTTTGCACAAAATCCTGAAAACTTGATAATTCCAGCACTCTCCACAGCAAATATCTGCATCACATAATCATGTTAATTTTTGTAATTACCAACAAAAATAAGCCACATTCTAAAAAGAGAATAAGTTTGGTTTAAGTTTAAATAATAAGTTTAAAACCTGATGGTTTTAGTAAAATGATTTTTATAGTAAATGCTGAAGTCAGGAACTTTTAAGCTTTATCAGTAAATGTTTGTATACACTCGCTCCAGGCTGGAAAAGTAAGGCCTAAAGGTAAACAGAAAGTGCAACGTGGTGTTGATGAACACATTCCTGAAAGCAGAGGCGTGGAGGCAATCAATCACACACATCCGTCCACATTCAGTGACAGAACCACATACCCACTCATATGTATGTTTGCTAAGGTCGCTTCATAGTGACATTTGACTGTTGTGTTCAAGACTACTTGCATAACCCTTATCCTAACTCTTATTATAGCCGTGCATTTATGCAAATAACAAGATCATATCCTACAGTGAATGCATCTTTTTAAATGTATGTGATGAAATCAAAATGACTGAGTGATTGAGTGACCCAAAAATGTGTTTTGCCAAACTGGTCTTAAGTGGATCAACACACATGCTCATACCCACGCCCACTCACGTGTGTAAATACACTCACACACTGAAGTCTTTCTCCAACCGTTTCCTTTTAATGATTAACTCTCTGCTGAAGAGAAAGGTGGTGCAGGTCTAAAGAGCAGTGATGAAAAAGTCAGTTTCTGTTTGTTTTAGCCAACGGCTGCTATGTTATGTTATGCACCTTCCACATTTTTGTCCCTCCCCTATACATACAAGCTTTAACACAACAGTTGAACTTTGGTCCTCAGACTAAAGAGAGAAAAACATAAACAAGCAGGTCAAACTCTGTTAATGTTTCTAACTTAACAACAGACTTAACCTGTCCTTTCTGATTCAAAGTGAACAAATCTTCCTGCTATGGATTGGTCTAATTCCTGAATTGATTATGACCATAAAACCTCGATGTGGCTGTAATGTACCAGAAGCCAAAGCCCATCTGTACAACAGTCAAAGCACAAAGCACTGAAAGGACAGTGTGATTCAGTCCACACCACACTGGCCACAAAGGAAATGACCACAGCAGATTGCAGTGTTTTCACTTGGACTCGATGTACATTGAGTACCCATGTGTCTTTGGCTGGAAGTAAGGAGCGAGCCTCCACCTCAAAAAGCCTCAAGAAGCCCTCTGCCCTGAGTTCCCCTGAGAGGCCGAACAATGCTCTAAAAAGCCGACTCCAGAAACTGATGTGAAAACCATAATTGAGTATCGAAGTTACATAAGATCAGATCTAACTACTGGCCTGTGGCTGACAGTGCAAGCTGGCTCTGTAGAGCTCCTGTTTAACTCGTGGTTTTTTGTTTATGTACTGTTTGACTGGTTGACTTGTTCCCCACGAAAAAAGAAAAACAAAACCATTCAGGGCTATGTGCCAAGATGGGTAGTTCAACAAGGAGGATGAGGATGTTTGGTCTGACGTTAGTTTGCAGTTGTTTTTGATGGCTAGAGCATCAAATGTCTCAACCATTTGGCTTTAGTGTTTTTACTCATATTCAAAAAGATTCTTTTTTTAAAACTGTATCAAGTTTTCTGATCAAAATGTTCCAGTTCACATGTAAAAAGTCTAGAACACTTTAGATATTCACATTAATAAACAACGGATGGAAAATCTTGAACTGTTACCAATATTCAAATCTTGTTATGAGTTAATCTTTGAGCTTTTCAGCCTTTAGTCATAGTGAATGGAGCAGGAAATTGAGAGAGATGGTAAGGAATGACAAAAAGTTAAGGGCCTGCGGGATGGATTTGAATCCAGACTTCAAGCATCAAGTACTAGTCTCTGTGCTTGGAGCAGGTGACCCAACCACTGGGCCAAACTTGCACCCCATAATATTACATTTTTTTAAAGATGCAACACGTGGAGTTTTTAAATTTTGGAGAGTCCAACTTTGCACAATCAACTTTTTTTCTTTCAACTCGAACAGCTGAGGCATTTGTGTACACCTCAGTTGTATTCCTATTAATGTTTATTTAAGTGTGTGTAATTGTTGTGCTCAAACCAAGTATGAGCAATGCTGTGTTTCTGACTAATCAGCAGTGGGAGCAGATGAGTCATTTGTGTACATACAGTACCAGAAATAATGAACTGGTGTATTGAGATGTAACAAGTACACTGGAGGCACTCTCTGTTAGTCTTTATAGTCTTTGTTTCATTTGACATGATGTTTTTATGCTCAGCTGTGAGTAAAAGAGGGGGTGAGGAAATTGTAACTTTCACTCTGCCCTGACATATACATTAACAATAAAAAATGTCATCATCAAACTTGTCATTGTAGCCGTAAATCCAGTCAGTCAGCAGCGCAGAGCACAGCTTCTCGCCCTTTCACAGCTGAGAGGGCTCAGAGAATGAAAATAGTCCTGGAGCTGAGCTGCCAAATGTTATAATCAAGACCTGTATTTTTAGATTTTGGCGTTCAGTCTCAAAGACGAAGAAGCTCAGGCAGAGACACAGAAAGAGACAAAGTCTGCCTGAACCATGACTGACTGCTTGATTTACTTTGTTTGCTTTCTTTCAAACTGTCACACTGAAGTCTTCACTTGAATCCTTTCACATTTGGTTTCATGAGCAACAAGTTTGAATGCATTAACATAACCATGCTATAAAAGGAGAGGTTTTGGCACTAACATTTAGTCAAACATCACCGTTAAGTATAATAGTTTACTGTTGATACCTTCCACAGCAACAAGTCCTCCCCCCTATTCAAGCACACATTCACAACACACTATTCAAACACACTGCAGGTGCTAAGATCTACACAATCAGTACAGGAGGTAAAGTTTACTTACATGTTGCTCACGAGTCAACAAGTGAGGTATTTAGCTGGCTCTGTGAGGAACAGCAGCAGAGGAAAGCTGTGGCTGTAAAACACGAGGGTGGTGAGCTGCACGAAAGGAAGCAGGTAAAACCTTGAGCTGGAGAAACAGAGTGCCGGTATGCCTGTGGTGTGTGTGCTGCCTGACTGTGTGAGAGATAAATGAAGGGTAACATGAGAGTCCTCCCACTGCTGAGGAAAACTCCGCCCCTCCGTCTAGGAGCAGGAAGAGAGTCTGGAGAGGAGGGCAGGAAGAAGGAGTTCTTCCTTGTAGTCACATGACTTTCCTGACACTTTCTCATTCCTCTGTGTTTTCTCATGAAGGGTCATTTCCACTCACAGTGACAAAGGCCCCATAATGTACACTGAGGAAACAGTGATTTACCCCTTCCGAAACCTGCAGAGTCAGTGAGACATGAAAAGAAAATATTACAGTCAGGATGTACACACAATAGATCAGTGTATTTTTGTGAATAATCCTGTCATATTAGTTTACTGGAAACCCTCAGTTGTGGCAACAGAAATTATAAAATGCATCCTCACTGTTCACATAAAGCCTAAAAACAAACTCAATCAAAACACTCCCACAAAATTCATGTGTCTATTTTCTAAGAGTATAGGGCATATGAATTGAGTTTTAAAGACAGTTGATTACTGAAAACAGGGTTGGCATAAAATTTATTGACAATCGCTCTTATAACTCTATCATCATTAGAACCCTTTGAAAAAGGTAAACTAGCTAACAGGAGGTCACATTGGGGGTTTTACAAAGTGGCTTTGGTCCTAAAAACTGGTCAAAATCCCTCAACAATCGTAGATAATGCAACAAAAGTGACATAAGTGACATTGGTGGACAAAGTGCCTATCCCAGAATCTTGGGGTGAAGGCAGGGGACACCCTGGACAAGTTGCCTGTTCATTGCAGGGCTGACATAAAGAGATGAACCACCATCCATGCTCATATTCACACCTACGGGCAATTTAAAAATGGCCAATCAACCTAACCCCACTTCTGCATGTTTCTGGGATGTGGGAGGAAACCGGAGTACTTGCAGTAAACCCACACAGACACAGGGAGAAAATCCAAATTCCACACAGAAATGCCCTGACTTGGATTCGAATCCAAGACCTTCTTGCTGTGAGGCAACAGTGCTAACCACTACACCACTGTGCCGCCCAAACTTTTCAAACTCTTCAAAATTTTATTTCAACAGAGCAGTGTGATGCATTGAACTCACAGCCAGCGAAGAATAAGCTGCATTATCACTACATGCGTAGTATGTGAACAGACATCAACATGCTTTAAACTAACTGTCTGTAGACTTTAGGTGCATTTCGACCTCCAATATTTGCAGTCACTCTTCTCTGACCATCATTGTGCTTTTGCATGGTAGGCTGCTGGCTTATATTCAAGTAGCTGTCAGTATATGGTCAACTTCTACGTGGCAATCAACTATACTACATTAATTTGTAAGTAGTGTCCATCAACACAATATCAGTCGGCAGTCTTTTAAGTATTTCTAGACATGTGTTAGGACAAAAACTATAAACTCTCAACAGACCATCAGTGGACGTTTGTAACAAACTGTTTATAGATGTGTTAGGACTATCAAATTAAAGTGAAAACTGTTGACAAGAGCACAAACCCAGTGTGGACATTCAACTTAATATGTCCTGATATAGCATGTGGAGTGTAAACAGGTGCACTGTCCAAATAAAGTGTTACCAATACTCCTGTCCAAATATTACTCCAATACAAGTAGAGATACTCAGTCAGGTTATCACTTAAGTTTAAATACTTACTTTGAAAAAGACTTTTAAAAATGTTACAACATTGTTGAATTTTTGCAATCTATTCTATTATGTCCATCTACAAAATATCATTTACATTTCTTTGACTAACTGCTATAGATTTTCAGATTCACACGTGTAAAACATAAGGAATATGACTCAGAACAACCAACTACAGAATAAAAGCAGCAGCTAAGTTATTACAGGAGAAACCTGATTTCTAATGTTTATCTGAAATCTACAAAAGAAAGTCTAGTTACGTAACTCAACATGCTTTCTCAGGTTAGTTGGTAACTTGTTGCGGTAAACAGAGAAAATATAAAACAAAAACTCAAATATGAGCTGAAAACGTGGCCATTGCTTGCTCAGGGGGAGAATCGTCTTTGCTGCGGCATCATTAGCACCACTAAATGAACTGCAAGCTCAGAGTGACGTTTGCTTTGCTCCAAGATTAACCTCAAAGATGCCCGACCTACAGATGTGGCAACTTCACTTAGACAAACAAACATGCAGAACTCCTAGAGGACAGTTGGTTGTCTTTGACATCAGATTTTAGAAAAAGAAAAGCTGACCTCAGCTGACCCCTGAGCAAAAGTAAGAAGTAAAATTCAATGCTATCTGTCTTTCAGATGTAGTCGAGTTAAGGCGAACTGTTTCTTCCCGGTTCGGGACCTTCTCTTGCTTTCTCACAGCACGTGTGTGCACATACTGCTGTTGGGTGAGCTGTATGGACTCTAGAATTGTTTTTATCATCTCTTGTTCCAACCCTCTTTAGAATTAGAATAAATAAATAGCATTGTTCGACTGTTGATTCTAGCCTGTTCTATGCCTAGAAGCACCCAAATTATGCTTCTCACTGTTCTAAATGAATATACCATATCAGGTGATAAACTTCAGCACAGAGCGCACCACCATGCCAAGCTATTAAATGTGAAACACATGCTAAATGGATTACTTTACCACCTGTGCATTTTATTGATCTTATCAGCTCCTGAAGTCATCACTTTCTCTTCTAAAAGTCCTGACTCATGGTTTAATGCAACTTGTGTCAAGGCATTCATCTTTGAATCAAGTGCATCTTTGCTTAGATTTGACCTTCAGATTTTAAAGCTCCTGTGAGGTTTTTTTTTTACATTTATGAAATAGGCTAAAAGTCATATGGATGCCTTTTCAAAATATCCAAAATCAAACAAGGTCATCAGTGACAAGCCTCACAATTTGTGTATCAAAATTTTAATTCCTGAAATCTATACAACGGAGTAGGTGTCAGCCGAGCAGCTAAAAAGATGTTCTGTTTTGACTATTTTTACCCTGCCGTAAAAAGTCAGTGGGGTGAGATTTTCAGATTCTTTGCACACACCAAGAAAAGCAGGACCTGCTTTGTCCACAGGGGGCATCAAAATTGACACAAACTAAAAATTAATCTCAGTGACTTTAACTAAACAAGCTGTCAGTTCCTCAGTGCCACCGAACTTACTGGCCTTTATATATACATCCAATTCATGTGCTATTTGTTGCAGCGTTGCCTACATTGGCCTGGAGTAAATGGTCATGTAAGCTCATATAACAACTATCAGGTAATTAATGATTGAAACAGGCCTGGTTAACTTTAGCCCTTACATTTGCTGTGAACCCTGCAGCATAATAAACAATGACCTCTGGGAAGTGAGAAAATCAGGGAAGGTAGGAACGATAACAGACTGTTAGGGAATAAAAAAGAAGAATATGATTATAAATGAGGTGTGGTTGAGGATATCCTGTCATTAAGGCCTGCAAAACAGTGGTTAAAGGCAAGCTTTAGTGAGGTTGTGCACACTCCGACTCTTTCACCAAACAGACACACAATATACACTACAGGCCAAAAGTTTGGAAGCAAGGCCATTACAGGCCAGTTGGGCCTGTAAGTTTTTGCTCACAATGCTTTTTTTTTTAAATCCAGCATGAGTTTTATGTATTTTGGGATGTATTTACTCCATGATCAGATGTTGCTTTCATGGAAATGCACCATTTTACTCCATTTACCTTTAGATATACATTGATGTTAACAGACCATTGCTAAATATATGTCAGCAAAAGATAATAAGGGCTTAGTTGCAGGGTTGAAAACATATACAAGAGTCTCAACTTCAGTGCAAAAGCAAAAAAAATGGCAGCTGAGCAAAGCAACTGAGAAAAGAAACAAAAGTACAGATTTGTACATTGAGGAAAGAAGGATACACAGAAAGAGAAATTGCAAAACGCCTAAAGGTGTTTAACAAAGGAGTCCACTCAACTCTGAAGAGACTAGAGGAACCTGGAAGTTATGATGATAGAAAAAGACCTGGACAAAAGAGAGTTACTACAAAAGCAGAGTATAAAGATAGCATTGTCACCAGTAGGAGAGATCAGCAAAAGACAGCACCAAAAATAAGGGAGGAAATCAACATGACAAGGTTGAAACCCATATCTCTGACAACTGTGAAATGACGTTTGAGAAAGGCTGATCTGAAGGGTTGTGTATCTGCAAAAAAAAAACACTACTTCATCCACAGAACAAGAAAAAGAGATATGAGTGGGCAAAAGCTCACAAAAATTAGACTCATGATGACTAGAAACAAGTTTGCACTGTTTGGTTCAAAACGCAGAGTCTATGTCCGCAGACAAACTGGTGAACGTCTGAAAGCACCATGTGTTACACCCACAATTCAGCATGGAGGTGGTAGTTCCATGGTATGGGGATGTTTTGCAGGTGATGGAGTAGAAGATTTGTTTGAAGTAAAGGGTATCATGAAGAAGGAACAGTACCACTCCATCCTCCAGCACCATGCTGTTCCATCTGGACTCAGACTTGTGGCTCATAAGTTTGTTTTGCAGCAAGACAATGACCCTAAGCACTCTGCCAAGCTCTGTCAGGGTTACCTAGACAAAAAAGAAGAGGAAGGTGTTCTTCAAAAGATGGGATTGATCAGTTAGAAAAATTTGTCCCACGAATAAGCAGTCTCTTTTCAATGAACTCAAGAAAGCTTGGAATGCAATCCCTGGAACATACCTTAAAAAACTTGTGGAACAAATGCCTGGTATATGCCAAGCTGTTGTTAAAGCCAGAGGAGGTTACTTTAAAGAAAGCAAAGTCTAAGCAACAATAACTCAAATACCTAATAATTAAAGTCAAAATGTCTTCTGATAAGTTACTCTTTATACAATAGTCATGTTTATTGTGTTGTAAATTATATATATGAAACTATGATCTTTTTTTGTACAAATCTGATCTTGCTTCCAAACTTTTGGCCTGTAGTGTAAAAATATATATTTTCCCATGGTAGTTGGCTGAGCTGCCCTTGCTCCTCACAGTCCAAACACTCACAGCATTGCTTATTTAAAGGAGTCAGCAGGGT